TGTCTCAGCCCACGCGAAGATCCTCATCCGGCTGTGTCTCAGGCAGAATCAGGTTGATGACGGTGACCAACGCAGCGAAGAAACCCAAGACCAGAGGGAAGTTGTAGAGCGGGCACACCAAGAAGAGCGGGTCGCACAATGGGTAGATCAAGTAGATCAGGGGCTTGGTGCACAGGTCACTGCCGGTAAGCGGACCCTTCAATGCCTCCGCTGGCATGGTTCCTGCCATGAAGGCCAATGCACCCAGCGCAGCAGGAGCAGCAGCTTCCAAGCCCCTGTTGTTCTGCTTGGGCTGCAGGAAGGCAGGCGACAACAGCTGCCAGCACATCAGTAGTGCGGCAGCGCCCAAGAATAGGCTCAAGACCAAGCTGCGTCCACGACGAGCCATGCTTCAACTAGGACACTCAGACTCCTTTGGTATTGGTATAAACGACAAAAAAAACCTCTGGAGCCAAATTTGCAATTTAGATGCCCAGGTCTTGCCATGAAGGCCATCATGAAAATAGTTTACCCCGGCAGAAACAAAAACACAAAACAAACATCGTGTGGGCTTTACTCTCTGAACATGCTGGTGGTATCTTGTGGGTTCCTTCTTTTGACCCACATCCTTACTGTGGGCACCAAATGCACATTGTTCAACAACTTGGCTTCTTGTCTTCTGTCACAACAACATAATGAGCAAATTAACCGAAAAGACACATCAACCAAGAAGCCTCGGGGTTCTGACCAACACGATTTTTATTGTTGTTGATGTTATTTTTTCCAGCGGCGCAGGCCACACATCTAGCGAGTCATCCAACTATCTAACCAACGCGAAGATCCTCATCCGGCTGTGTCTCAGGCAGAATCAGGTTGATGACGGTGACCAACGCAGCGAAGAAACCCAAGACCAGAGGGAAGTTGTAGAGCGGGCACACCAAGAAGAGCGGGTCGCACAATGGGTAGATCAAGTAGATCAGGGGCTTGGTGCACAGGTCACTGCCGGTAAGCGGACCCTTCAATGCCTCCGCTGGCATGGTTCCTGCCATGGAGGCCAATGCACCCAGCGCAGCAGGAGCAGCAGCTTCCAAGCCCCTGTTGTTCTGCTTGGGCTGCAGGAAGGCAGGCGACACCAGCTGCCAGCACATCAGGAGTGCGGCAGCGCCCAGGCATAGGCTCAAAACCAAGCTGCGTCCACGACGAGCCATGGTGCAAAGTTGGAAAATGTGATCCTGAAAAATACACTGAGCCAGCTGTTTCAATCTTTTGCAATGCGCACAATCGGAAGGATCAAACAAAACATGTTCGCAAGGTGGAACTATTGAGTGTGGACAGCTAAATTTCCTGAAACATAAAGAGCATTGATCTTGCAACGAACTCCGTAAGTTGTCGTTCTCCAGATCGAGCATTGTTTCAAGGCTAAGCAAGCACATACATACTACACACAATGGCGTTAAAACCACCTCAAAAGAGTTCAAGATGGTATTTATGCAACATATTTATATATATTTATATATATATACACGAACATAATGCTTCTGCGTCGTGCCATACAAGTTCTTCTCCTTCTCACCAGTCCAATGAATCTGGGTCCAACATGATAACATGACCTCTGGCAAGCTGATCGGTCTATTTTCAGTGCACTTCTGCTCCCACTGCAGGTGGAAAGGAAAACCTGGCTTCAGCGAGCCTAAGTCTATATCGAACAGAGACGCTGTCTCAGCCCACGCGAAGATCCTCATCTGGCTGCGTCTCAGGCAGAATCAGGTTAATGACCGTGACCAATGCAGCGAAGAAGCCCAAGACCAGAGGGAAGTTGTAGAGCGGGCACACCAAGAAGAGCGGGTCGCACAATGGGTAGATCAAGTAGATCAGGGGCTTGGTGCACAGGTCACTGCCGGTAAGCGGACCCTTCAATGCCTCCGCTGGCATGGTTCCTGCCATGGAGGCCAATGCACCCAGCGCAGCAGGAGCAGCAGCTTCCAAGCCCCTGTTGTTCTGCTTGGGCTGCAGGAAGGCAGGCGACACCAGCTGCCAGCACATCAGGAGTGCGGCAGCGCCCAGGCATAGGCTCAAAACCAAGCTGCGGCCTGGTGCGATTGGCATCGGGCAACCTTTATTAACGGAATGGTTAGGGTTGCGTTCCTACTTACCATTGCTCTTGCAAACATGTCTAGTCAAAATGTGCAGTGGTTTCGGAGTAATGACGCAAGCCCAAAGCAACTGAACTTTGAGTGTTCGATCTGTTGATGCCGTTCAGCCCCTTCCTAAAAAAATACTGGAGACCCGCCCTGACTAGGTTCTAGTGAAGGCTGAAGGCTGAAGGCTGAGTGAACCCTTTCTTTGTCGCAGGATTTCTGACGGAGGAAGCCCTCTTGCCCAAAAGAAGAAGCCATCACCCAAGCCATGTGGTTCATCCAACAAAGCCATATTCATCACAACTTACGCCCCAGATGTTCGGCATTGAAAGAAAACGGACAATTTGGTTGCTCTAGAAAACCACTGAAGTTCAGGAATTCGATCATTGATCAAACACGGGTAGTGTGTTCTACAACACGGGTGGTGGACTAAACAATTGGCATACAATACAGGTCTCGGTCCATTTAATATCTATATGCTGTACCTCTGTGATATCTATATGCTGTACCTTTGTGTTGCTGGTACAGCATACATATGTTGTAGGCCCAGTTATAATCACTTATAATATATATAATATAAGTTATATACGATTGAAACAAAAAGCAGCCTCCAAGGCGAACAAAGCTGAACACCTTCCCTGGCTTCTCTCAACCTGGTACTCCACGTCCCGATTCCCGGCCCTCCTCGACGTGCCATGGAGCCTAAGAGGGAGCCTATTCACGTCTATCGATCCCGTGCAACCGGCGCTCTGAGCCCCAAAAACCACATCCAAGAAGCAGCATGAAGCAGCATGCAAGTCATCCTGATCTACGGATTTGTTAAGAAAAAACAACGAAAACAAAACCGTCGTTTCACCAAACGTGGTCAGGCCGCGTACATCACACGTCGAGCCTTCACAGCAAAGAACTTTGATGAACAGTTGCGCCCCGGACCAATCCTCTTTTGCTGTGCATGAATTTGGTTTTTGCATCGCCATGTGGACGATGGGCTGCTGATTCTTTGGCTGAGTGTCTTGGACTGAGGTTTCTTGGTTAGGCAGCTATTCCAAACATCGCGTACTTACTTACTTACTTACTTACTAGCAAAGAACTCTGCAACGGACCAAGCAAGCAAGTGGACAGCTGTAAAAGACTCTCGGTAGGAAGCAAACCACTTATTTCGGAGGGGAATCACACCTAGTACATCCCAATTTCATGAGAAACACATGAACTGCACGACTCACAGGTTCACCCATGAGTCTCATCACTCAAGACAACCATTTTTCTCTAGCTCGCTACGATCGCCAGGGCGTCTGCCGGAGCATCCGCCACGGACGCAGGATCATTCCATTGGTCGCCTCACGTGCGTGGGTGCCCGAGCCGCACGCGGGCCCTGGTTCTCGGGTTCACTGCAGGTCACTCATATGCTTACAATGAGTCTACGGCGAAAGAGTTCCAGCACTGGTATTTAGCTCCACAAGTTTGGGCGCAAAAGCCAAGGTAAAGAAGTAAAGAAGCAATTAATTGTTGCGTGTTTCACAACACCACTGTATTGACAGCGGGCGCGATGCACATGTCCATGGACCTGTAAAGAAGACAGGTAAACGGTAAACCCCAAAACAGGCAGTCTCCAAATGACACGGATGTTTCATCAGGAACAAACCACCCTGGCACACTATAAGTCAAACGTGCCTTTCCCAACAATACCCTGGCTGTCTTTTCCAAGGTCCAAGTTCGAACGGCGCTGCCATGGCGACATTCCCCAGCGCAAGGCACGCACTCTGGATCAGACCTCTAAGACCTACTAGGATCTACTAGGAACAAGGGCATCGCTACGAGCAAGGACGCTACTAGTAGCTCCTGCCCATACTACTAGTAACAAGGGCTTCGCTAAGTATTAAAAATAGGGAGACCTCCCTGTTAGACCGAAGAAGGGAAATAGATCAGTCTACCGAGCCAGGGGGTGAGGGTGTCTCCCTACTTCAAATTCACACCGCTCCTGCACGTGCGCGCGCAGATTGCGCGCAAAGGGCGCGTCGCCTGAAGGCTCCAGCGTCGCCTGGGGCGCCTGAAACGCGGCGATGCGGATAGGTCAGGATTGCTAGGACCGCGTTGCTAGCCTTTTTGCCTACGTCTCAATCTCTATAGATCTCTATAGTGTAGAGAGATCCCCCTGAAAGAGCGGGTTCCGCCAGAAGAGGCTCAAAACATGCTGAAACCTTTATTGAATTGGGCGTTTCAACATACTGTAACTATGACGAGTCCTCCATACAGGTGCCCTAAGTCGATATCTTCACCCTCTCCTATTAAGTGCGGGGCTACTGATTGTTCTATCAAAGGATCAAATGAAGGATGCCACCTGGCTGCCTGGTCCCTGGGGCGGAAAAAATTGCATTTCAAGAGGCTCCAATACAGATCTGGAAGCTTTAGAGTCATCAAAACTGCTCTGACAAGCAGCATCTGTCTACTGAAACAGCATACATTCATTCTTGAATATTTCAAATAGTAGTACATATGTTACATACTGTATATTTATACATCTTTTCAGACTCTGTTTAATTCGTCTGTCATCACAATGGCATGGCCCGACCGGCTAGGTATATTCGTGTCCCAGGCCCCTGCCGGCCTCAGGTAGATCCAACTGCATCTGCCCTGAAGCGAAGAGCATCTCCAAATCATTCACCCGCAAGACGCCCTGGCTCTATCACAGCCGGGGCGCACGCAGCGAGTGACCACTTGGTCATGTGCAGGCCGCAGGACGACTGGATCATCCTGGTGTTCCAAGGAGATCTTTTTGGTGAACACTTAAGCGCTGTAGTCACTGAAGTCGGGAACAACAATCTGCTTCAGATCAAAATGCTGTATTTGTTGACAACGCCTAAACGCAACGCCTCCTTCAAGCGCACGCTCCAACGCTTGGGGTTCTTCCGGACACGGGCCACCTGTGGAAGAGTTCAGCCACGAAGGGATAGGAAGGGAAGGCGGCATGGCATGGGTGGTTGGCCAAAGATCCACTGGGGTGTCTTGGATGTGTTGGAAGAACCTTTCAACATCTGAGCTCTATCTCCCTCGCAGGCCCCTTCGCTTGAGTCCCCTGTTGGGGCGGGTTCAAATTGGACTGTCATGGTTGCATTAGCAGCAAAATTGACAAAGACCTTGTCATGGAGTAGTAGTAGTAGCAGCAGCAGCAGCAGTAGTGGTAGGAGTAGTAGTAGTAGTAGCAGCAGCAGCAGCAGTAGTAGCAGGAGTACTAGTAGTAGTAGCAGTAGTAGTAATAGTAGTAGTAGTAGTATCATATAATATCCGTCCCTCATAAAACTACAGTACATCGTTTGCTTCAAGAGTCAAGCCAAGTGTTTTAGCAAGGTAGATTGGACTCCACAGATCGTTTTTTGTTGTTGTATATTTATCAAAACGGACATGCATCTGATGAAAAGCTCGCACAACTGGCAAACCTCCACACCAACCATACCAGTTTAACACAATAGCCTAGCTTGGCAGCTTGCCTCTCATTGATGGTCAAAATGACAAAAAACAAAAACATATATATGATCTCCCGCTTCCGCAGGACTTCAACGAAACTTTCGGGAGGATGTCACTATGTTCATCCATGTTCAACATAGATAAATATGAAAAACAACATGTAGTATCACTCTTGTGTTTTTCTATTTATATATGATACTGTATTTTCTTAATTCTGATAACTTCTTTTTTTCAGACTCCGGAGGATGTCACAAAAACAAATAACAAAACAAACTGGTTGCTTTATGTTCTGTCAATATGTTTGTCACATATTTGTCACTATGTGCTCTTGTTTTTTCCTCTACATTTATCATGCATGTCGTCTGATGCCGGTAATTAGGGACATCATCTCCAATCCAGCCCCAAAGGGCGCCTAACTCTGAAGGCTTGTGCCGTCGGCGGCAGCTGGACCCGCCTTCGTGAAGATCAACGCGTCCGGAACAAAGAGCTCCTCCACATCATCCAGGTCCGAGCCCAGCTCCGAGCCCGAACCATCTGGTGACGGCACAGAGGGAGCATGTTTGTTTCAGAAGACGGTTGTGACTTTAGAGTACACAAAGCCCAATGTCTTTGTTGAATAACCTGTCTTTTGTTGGTTTTAATAACCCTTCAATTGTGGGATTGGGTCCCGTGGTACACATGTCTTGCCATGTCTTGCCCTCTCCTAGCTGGACTTGGCTGAGGGCCTCAGATGGAGTTTTTGGTGGGTTCACCCTTCCAAAACTCACCACCTCTACCTGGTGATACTGGGAAGGCTCCAGTTCTTTGTTGCAAAGTGGTGGAGTTGCACATGACTAGCCGGGAAACCACGTTATGCTTGCTGTTACGCACACATGTAATCATGTGGTAAAAGGAAACACGACCAACTGACCAATTGCATGAGATATGTTGACTTGTGGACATACAAGTCTTCTGTGCTGCGCTTAAGTGGACAGACGTGCATCTCATATAACGGACCATTGGGAGGCAATTGAGCGATGGATAGATATGATGGACGAATATGGTAGTTGTAGTGGTACAAAAGGTGGACGCCAGCACTGTAGCTTGCAAAGCTTGTTTTATACCGTGTTCAAAACATGAGCATAATTGCTAGGAAACTCTTTTTGTCTCGGACTCATGTCTTCTCTAAAGCATCAATGGTAGGTGGATGGATGGTATAATGATATATAAATAATGGATATGGAACTGGATATGGACATTGTGAGGTTTGCAAATCGGTGATTTACATCACCACCTGATTCTATGAATTCGCTCAAGCCCATGCTCGCCTGCCCGCTGCACCACCTCTCACATTCCGCGAAACGTTGGATTGCGGGGAACATGAACGTATTTGAACAGTTTTTTTGGTACGATGTGCCTTGAACATACTTGAAAAGGAGAGTATTTGTCTAAGCTGCGCAGTGCAGTGATTCTTCGTCTCACGTCTCACACGTATGTTTATCCTCGCCGCCACCGATCGATGTTGGGCACACTGATCGATGGACATTGTGAGGTTTAATCCCCTCTCCCTAATAATAAACGCCCCCCCCCCTATTAATAAAAACCCTGGGGTGTTTTTACTAATAGGGGGTGTTTATTATTGAGGGGCACCTGTTGTACCCCCAAATGGGCAATGTTCTGTTCGCCCTAATAAAAAGTAGGGTCTCGAAAGAAAATCCCTGGGTTCCCAATCTAATTAATTATATAAAATCCTTGTTAAAACGACCATCAAAAAAA